AGATTTTATCTAAAGAACTGAAAGCCACCTTATTTATTTATTACACACCATATAAACTCTTCTAAAACCTCAGTTTTTGGAACTTTCAGATTCTCATCAAAGTGACCAGCACTGTAATTCCGATGGAGATGGAGTAGATCTTACCATTGACTTTTCCCTCTAAAAGAATAAGACTTCATGAAATACGCTTAACAATCCAGTTATCTAATTTTCCTAATTAATTAGGCAAGTTTATCTTAATCTTTTCTAATATAAATGTCTGTGTCTCACTATGAAGCTCTGACTTGTAGTGATCCTCCTGTCTCAGCCTCTCCAGCACTGGGATTATAGGGTGTGCCACCACACCTGGCAAGGCTTGGGGCTGGGGATTGAACCCAAGTGCCAAGTACCTGGGTTCAATCCCCTGTACTGCTTGCTAGGCAGGCACTTAGACTGCTGAGCTATCTTCCCAGCCCAGACCTATTTTATTTCAAATTCCTCTTCCAAGCTGAACTATATTCCAGAAAAATGAAATTATATAAAGCTATTGGTAAATAGTTTTTCTGCAAGAAGAAATTTCTTGTCAAAGCTAAAGGAGTGCCCACCTTTAACCCCCACAAATCAAAACTGTGACATTAGTTTCTTATGAATGGAGTACAGTACTATGCTTTGTCTATAGAGAACTCTGTGCTTTCAGGGAGGGTTAATTGAAGATTGCAGTTCTTTGTTATTCTAAAATAACTACTAGGTTTGAGTTGAACAGGAAAATAAAAAGGGCTGGAGACCAGCTGGAAAAGTTCAAAAGGAGTCTTTTCATCAAAATGTTAATGGCTTTACTGTCAAGGTTTGGGGACAGAGCTTTAGGGAGTGTAGTTATCAGTTGTCAGGGACCTATTGTGTGAATTATGACACAAGCTAAGGGCTTTAATTTGTTTCCAATAAGATGCTGACATTTGCTTTTCAACATCAGAGGCAACAACCTATTTTAGAAAGGCAACAAATCACATGTAAGTCCAATTTGTCAGATTTTAAGTTATTTAATTTCATCTACAGTTTCGCATTTGGTAAGCTATAACTTAAAACTCATTATTCCCATTCTTGAGTTTTTAGAAGAGTATACATAGTGTGTAATAAATAAGGTAGATTTCTATTCTTTAGATAAAATATAAAGTTTAGGTATAGAAGACTACAGTTAAAACTGTAAAGAGAGTTAAACAAGCTATAGCTCAGTTACTCAAACCCTTACATCACTCATATGTAAGTGTGTACTGAGATTTTACACATTCAGAAACCAAGTACAATTCACGTGTATATGATTCAGAAGGGTTATTTAGTATTTAACTATGGCCAGAGTTAAGCTTGTAGATTTTATCTTCTCAATTTCAATAACTATGTACTTTTAAAAATCCCAGTTTTAGAGTGAATGATATTGCTACAGTGACTACCATAGACCATTTCAGAAGCACCCACTTAATACAGAAAACAGCGAGGTTGGACGTGGCTTGACCCTGCGCTCCAAAAAGAAGTGATGAGACAGGGTGACATTTTAGGGTATGTTTATAAGGTATGCTGGTCAAATCAGGATAATTAGCATTTTTCTTTATAATTTCTCTGTGCTAGAGCCTTCGAGGCCTTCTCTTCTAGTTATTAATGAATACACACTAGGCCAGCGGTGAGTGCCTGCCTGTTGTCGCCCAAGGCTCTAAAAGATTCCCCATCACTTCAATAGGCTATGGTAGTTGTCTATTCATTGCTGTAACAAAACACTGGAGATAATCAGCTTAGAAGAAAGAAAGGACTTTCGGCTCACAGTTTCCCAGGCTCCAGTCCGTGGTCCTCCGTCCCTCCTGCTTTGAGTCTGGTGAAGCAGCATACTATGGCAGGGGAATAACATAGGAAGCAATGTGCTCACCTTGTGGCAGCCTGGAGTCGAAGTGACAAGAACAGGAGTGGCCAGGGCTCCAGTCTCCCTCAGGGATACACCCCCGTGACCTGGCATCATTCCACAAGGCCCCATCTCTTCAAGGTTGGGTCACCTCTCAATTACACCAAGCTGAAGACCAAGTCTTTAACACATTGACCTTTAGAGGACACTCAAGATCCAAGCTCCAGCCTAGGTTATTGGGAGCAGGACTGCCCACCCTGTGCCGTGGAGCACCGGGATTTATTTTTTCTACCCCACTGTGTCTCAGTAGCCATTATCCGGCTTCCCCCATCTCTATTGTGCCACTATTCTCAGCCTCTGGTGATCACATTATAAGTTTTTCAACAAATGTTTCAGATGAAATTCTTACTGCTGTGTTCTGATCATAATACATGTATTCATAGTCATTATGCTGTGTGCCATAAGTAGGCATAATTAAAATAGGTTTTACAAAGAATTGATGGGTGACACGGTAGGTGTTAGGATGGGTAAGGAATGGCCTGTGGTAGTGGGACAAGAAGTTTGGAATAAAACATGGGCTTGCCTGAACCTGCTATACTTGGGAGAAGTAGGACACAAAGTTCTTTTCATGTAAAAGTTCACTTAAAAATATAACTTATTTTAAGTCTTAATTAAATTGATGAAATGCTTACAGTAGTAAAAGAGTGGACACCCGATTTCTGATGTAAATTAGTGAATTAATACAAACTGCATGAGAGATATTGGCTAATATTCATCATTTACAGTGTGGTTGGGAAGTAAGCACTGCTGAGTAACAGAGGTGAGGTGGCCGCAGGGGAACAGGAAGGAGGTGGAGACAGGGTCCCTGCAGAGTGCAGGGCACCAGCGAAGAACATCGTAGACAGGAGGGAACCGTGAGTAAGGGTGCAGGTCCTACAGCCTCAGGAGTGTAGGCTTGGCCAGATTAGGCAGCTGAGGGGCTAACAGGAGGGACTTGGGCAGGGCAGGCTGAGCCTGGAGCTCCACAAAGCAGGACTGACTTGCCATGTGCCATAGCTGTAGGCAATGGAGTAACAGAGAGAGGGCCGCTAGCAGACATGGGGAGATGACCACTCTGGCCGTGGGGATGCAGGGTGGCTGTAATCATGCCCGTGTGGCAGAGCCTAGCAGGCTGAATGGCGTGGGAAGACGTCATCGTCAGTGGCCGCGTGGTGCTGCGAGCTCCCTGGGGGCACATTTTGGATTATCTCACTTGATCCTCAAATCACTCACAGGTAGCAACTACCAACATTGGATTTCAGGCTGCAGAAGAGGAAACTAAGGTCTAGAGAAATAAGGAGCCGGGTCACACGGCAAGTAGGAAATAAGGCGGACCTTGGAGTCCAGGTCCAACGAGCCATCTGGTCGCATTCTCTGAGATTCAAAGTAGAAGCACACAGAGGTCAGGCGATGCCACACACAAGTCCATAAGGAAAAAGCGGAGACCGCATTTCCTTCCTGAACTGACACAACTTCTGGCCTCCAGCCTCCTTATATTTTATAATTTAAAATAAATAAACATTTAATGTCTATAATCCCATTTAGTAGAAAAGCCTAACAATTTTGGTGTGTTTAATGCTATGTGTCTTAGGTAGCTACATTCACAGCATCAGCATCATCTGTTTAAGTGTTGATGAAAGAATTTTATATTTACTGTTTGGTGCTTGAATAAGCTGTCATTGTTTTGATCTACCACAATGTAACAAACTCTAGGTTTTTCAGGGCTAGGGCTATTATACAAATATTATAACGTATGATTCCTTACATTTTTGCTTCCTCCAGGAAGAACTGATAAGACCAAGTGATGTAAACATCTTTTGCCTCTTGCATTTGTTGCTCGGCTTCTGTTTAAAAGAATTATGCTAATTTATAAGTCAACAACAATAAATAAGAAAACAAATGTTCCTACTTAAATCCCATTTGTTTATGTTATTTTCTTTAACCTTTAGCATTAACTGAAATTCATATAGTTTCTAATTTCAAAATATTGCGGAAAAAACTATGGATTTTCAAGTATTTCTTCACTCATTTCCCCAGGTAGAGAAATTTTACTCTTCAGTCATTAAATTCTTGCCATTTTCCTATCTCCTTTCTTTTCTTCTAACAGCTCTTTTGATCTGAATTCAGAAGAAGAGAAGCTAGAATTAAAGTTTAGCCTCTAGCTATGTTTATTATTTGGGTTATTTTCCCTGTCCTTTTCCAGGAGGAATTAAAAGGAATTACTGATGTCTTTGTTTATACACCTCACATTCTCCTGAAATAGTTGGTGTAGATCAAAAGCTAAGGAATAGGTGCAGAAAGATCAACTGGTAGTCATTTCCCCTTTCGTGTACCCGGCAGAGTAGCTTTCACATTAGAAAGATCACAGGCAAGATGCGCTTTCTGGGGATAGGCAGCCAGCCAGGTCCCTTCTGGTGGCCTGCTGGGAGAAGAGCGCCTTATCTTCAGAGTAAAATGGCAATCAATAGAAAGAGCTGTCTGTTTGCTCGGCGGAATGAAGCGGAATCTAAAGGAGAAGGGAGGCGGGGAAGAAATATTTGTTTTTCTCTAAGTGGTTATAATTAAAGCCTTCCACCCAATTGTTCTGTGAACCAGAAAAAGGTATTTGTGAAGTTGTGTGTGTTTTTAAGACCGTCACAAAAGAACCTAGCAGAGCCGCCGGCTCTGTAGATAAGCTTGCTCTGCAGCGGCACCTTGTGGTCAGCCTGCAACTTGTGGGTTCAGTTTCCTAGCCTCTAAGGCACTATTGGTAGTGCGCGCTCGTTGGCCAAGTCCCTCTCCTAAGAGAGCGAAGAAGTTGTGAGACATTAGGTCAGCTGTTATATGCCTGCATAACAAGCACTAATCAGTGAGCTACGTTTCCAACTGTGTATTATAGAGCTGCGTGTCAAACCACATTGCCCTACTAATTGTTAAGCTTACTCTGGGCAGGGAACTCAAGGTACAGGCCAATGATAGAACATTTGCCTGGTATGCAAATAGCCCTGGGTTGGATCCTCAGCATGAAATATACACTACTGTAAACTGAAATATGGAATTTTTAAGGTCATCCATTGAAGCATGCATTAATGTAGTACTTGAAATGTTTGTTTCCCAGGTGGCAACAAGTTGGCCAACCAGCATTTTCGCCTGAATTGGGCCTGGATCTCCTTTGAAAAGGAATATTACCTGGTCAATGAAGACTCCAAATTTCTAGATGTCGTTCTTAAACGTAGAGGCTATTTGGGAGAAACTTCATTTATAAGTAAGTTTAATTTTGCATTTTTGTCTCAAATCCCATTTTTCTACCAAAGACAGTTTTTCTAAGGTATTTAAAATACCAAGTTAGTTCACTGATTTAGCTTAAGTGCTTTAGGGAGTTGTTGACATTTAAAGATTCTTTAATGGCTAAAAAAAAAAAAAAAAAGTAGCAAATTGGTGTCAAAATACGCACCTCTTCAAGCCTTCCACCTAAATGGGAGCCTCTCTAATATAAAATAGCCCTACAAAGTTGGAAGTAACCACTCAGAAGGTAAGAACAATAGCATTAGGCAAATTTGTAGTTCATCCATAAAAATAAATTTGCTGAAGTATCAATGTAAAACATGTGAAGGAGGGAGCCACAGAGATGGCTCAGTGGAATAAGCGCTTCCCTGGCAAGCACAAGGGCCTGAGTCCAATCCCCGGTTCCGCCAAAAAAAAAAAAAAAAAAAAAAGAACCATGAAGGCTACTTTCACAAATAAATGAAAACTATTCAGTATTTTATAGGATTTCAAATATATTGAACTGTTTGTCATACTTGAATACTCAAGTAGGTCACTAAAAGTCCATGAACACCAATGCCTGACATAAAAGATTCTATGTTGTGCCTTTTCTTTGTAACAACATTAAGTTATTAAATACTGATCATCTACAGTACTTATTTTGAATAAAACTAAGTTAAGAAGAAATGAATAAAACTTTATCAACTCCAATTTCATATTTGATTTCACATAATCAGAGAAAAGTACATTGACATTTTAAAGCAGTGGCACAGATGGCACAAAGTATTTATGTTGGTGAAAAATAGCCACACCCCAAAATTATACTATTTTGAATACTAAAAGTTCTATAGACATTTAAACTGTTGATTTTTATACACATAAAATGTATCATTGAATGAGATTATCAACTAAGGAATCTAAGAAAATGCTAGAAAAATGAAAAGTTAGTAACCCTGTCTCCAAAATGATTAATTTCGAATTTTGTTGGTCCTTGAACCCTTAGCCAGTAGACTCCCTATCAATGACTGGTCTCCTTTCCCCCCAACACACACACACACACACACACACACACACACACACACCCCTCACTACAGCTTTTCCTTCTCCATAACTCCTTGCCATTCCTTCCCTGATTTCCCTTGGCATGTTTGCATTCTCAATGCTAATTGTGCCTTAGTTTAGAAATGCTTAATTTTTTAACTTGAGGGAAGATGCTTTCCCTGCAGATTTCTTGAGGTTACTCTGGGCCCAGGGAGGTCGGTCTTCTAGCAGACTCGCCCAGCACAAGAGCAACGCAGCTCCACCTTCGCTAGCCCCATGTATTCCCACACGACTGGTACCTAGACTCTGTGTTTAACCAGAGAGTTCTTGAGTTCTTTTGTCCTCTGGGGACACTTTCTCTGTACAGACAAGCTCTGCAGCTACTATCCTGTTGTCAGTAAGATTCGCCATAACTGCTTCATGCCTGCAAACACAACAAATAAAGTACAGAGCATGATAGCTAAAACACTGGGCACTCAGGCAACTGTTAAGGATATTTTCATCTATTTGAATTTTATTCTCACTTGTAGTGAATTTAATTATTTATAGGTAGCTCGTATATGTTTCAGGAAAGCTAATAGTTGCAAAAGGTCTTAAAATTGACTTTTCAGATTTTTCTCTCCAACTTATTTATAAACATTTGTTGTTCATTTCCTTAAGCTAAATGCTAAAATATCAAACAAGAGCTCTTTTTTAGAGTTATGTTTTCAATAAATTATTATTTCCTACAAAAGTAGAGAATCTAGCAATTGTACAAAACCTCTATACCTTTATTTGGTTAACTTCACATGGTTACTAGCAAACTGGGGTGATAGGCAGAAAGACTTCTCTGTGTGACCCACACCTGCCGTCACCAAAGAAGGTCACAGAATCCACACTAGGCCCTGAAGTAGACATCAGACTGAAGTAGAAGGCGGTCTCCTAGATGCTTTCTGACGAGGATGTTTTGTGCTGCTGTTTCCAGACGACCTCCACTTCCACATAAGACCTTCCAGAATGTGTTAAAACTAAAGAAAAAAGTATCAGCTCAGCCAAAGATGGGACATCATTTGTGCCCATTCTCTGGGTCATGAGTTACAGATAATTTGTAGATGCATTTTCTCAAAGATGAGAACTTATTTTGTAACCATCATAATCCACTAATAAATGAAACATGAGTTAGTATTCAAGGACAATGGTCTTTGAATCTCAAAGACCTTGCCACTAGCTATTAAATAATTACCAAAGGCAAGGTGCTTCAGTGAGCACACGGAACGCTGTGTCCATCTCTTCTGCTCCTGACAACAGCCATTTATGCTTTTCTTGAGGGCTCGTTGTCAGGTGCTGGTTTAGGAAATGGATTTTGGAGCAGTACTGACACTTATTGTTTATTGAGTTCCTTTTATGTGCCTGGCCTCGTTCCCAGCATACTACATAAGTGAACCCCTCAAGAAGAACGCCATTATATCCTCTACTTTATAAGTGACAAAGCTAGAGGTTATGATACACCCAAATTTACACAGCTAGAAGGAGGTAGAGCTGAGGCTTGGCTTTGCAGTTCATGGCCATCCTCACTGCACTGTAGTGTTTTTAAAACCGAGAGAAGTCTAATAATTCTTTGTGGCTGATACAGGACATAAAATCTATTCTTTCATTGCTAAAGTACCTTGTTCAACTCCCACATTAGTTTTCTGTATAAAAGAGAAATAGGCAATTGCAGTTTTACTTAATAATCAAAGTAAAACATATAGGCTTTTTAGATAGTAACAACTGGGATTTGGTATTGCAACTTACTTTTTATTAGGCTGAATATCTTGACCGTCATGTTGTCGATGTGTCTACTTCAAGCTAGCAACTGTGCTCTATGTTACATGGGTTCTGTTTTTGGTTTTAATTTGCCTTTTGAATCTTTGGGGAAAGAGCCATTGCTGGTGAAAAACAAACAACAAAAAGAAGCAGCGGCTACCAGAGGCTGACTAAGGTATTTTTGCCCATCATTGCCAACTGGGAAATGCAGGTCAGCAAACAGCACGGGTTCTGGATCCTCAGAGAGAACAGCTCCTTCCACCCTCACCTCCGTGGTGGGTTGTGGTTGTCGCCAGAGGTGCTGACAGCACTTTGTGTGCACTGCGAACCAGACAGCTGGTGAGAAGCCTGCAGCTCTGGATAGGATGGGCATCCTAGAATTCACTCTCCACCCTTTCCCTCTTGCCTTTCAATAAATCGTACTTTACCTGCTACTGAAAAAGAAGTATGCCGTGCAGTATCTGTCAGGTTGATCTGAGATCTCCAAGGCAGAACTTTTAACAAAACTTTTGTTTATCTTCATTTAAGATTAAATTAATGGCTAGTGATAGTATATCAGGAAAAAGAAATAAATCTTCTAATTAATCATATATAGACAGTCTGAGGATAAAGGTTTTTGTCTGTTCTGTTTTCTGACACAAACCCAGCATATAGCACAAAACATATGAAGCACTCAATGAGTATTTGCAGTTTAATGCATAATATTTATTGCAGTTTCATCCTACATTTGAGAAAAACATCAGAAATATAATTTCTTCAATTAAATGAAAAATGTTACAAATAAGTAATTTTCAAGTTTAAAAATCAAATAACCACAAGACTATTTTCCCTTTTGTGTCTGCCCACTTTTATGAACATTTAAAACATTTAAATGTCAACATTTAAAAAATATATTTGAAAATCATTAATTTGATTCATTAAGAGGTTCTGAATATGCAAGTAGTATTGTGATTGTATAATCTGTCTGTGGCATTAAATGTGTTCACTGGTTTTTGAATAATACACCAGGTGGTTTGAGTTCCTGGTATAAAAATGGTGCTATAGTTAGTGACAGTGTTTCTTCAGGCTTCTTAGCCCTCTGAAATTGACCTTGGATGAACTTCTAAGTAAACAGAGGATGCTGCTTGTAATAACCTTATATATTTAGTGTTCCAATTCTGTTCACATGGTTGTGTGCTATTCTGGGTGTTCTATAAAGAAACCCCTGACCATGTTGCTAAAAGGTGAATTCAATTCTCTTAAGGGTCCAAATTCCACTAAATCCCTATGAAATTTTATAACCTTTTATCATTCTATTTAGGCATTTATGAATTAGTCAAAAATTTCGTTGTCTCACAGAGTGTCTTACTGGACATTTTCTCAGGGAACATTTCTTACATTTTTATAATATGCAGCAGCACCTGGAAACATCTTTGTATGGAACTTTGAGATTTATGAAGTTGTTGAAATAATGATATTGTACAAGATAAGTATGAATTTACACAGCCCTGTTTTGCATGGAGTTCTAACACTAACTTAGCTCAAAGAACATACAGCCACACCATGATGGAGGCAAAAGGAGAACAGAGCCATCTCCTCAGTGCCTGCAGTACACTTTCGTCATCTAGTCCTTACTCAACTTCCTGCATCCCAGAGTCAGAGCAGGGTCTGTCCTGCCTGCACAATGGGATGGAGAGCCCGAATAATCCACCTGTAAACAAGCTAAGAGGATGCTCTTGTGTTTCCCTGAAGGTATCAGCACACGCGATGGGACCGCAGAGAAAGATAAAGACTTCAAGGGCAAAGCACAGAGGCAAGTGCAGTTCAACCCGGGCCAGAGCAGGGCCACGTGGCGAGTGCGGATCCTGAGCGACGGGGAACACGAACAGTCAGAGACCTTCCACGTGGTCCTCTCGGAGCCCGTGCTGGCGGCCCTGGAGTTCCCGTCAGCGACCACAGTGGAAATCATCGACCCAGGGGACGGTGAGTGCCATTGTCAGCTTGGCTATGTGATCTTGAGGCTTAGTGACCAAATGCTGCAGATGAGGTTTGCAATTGAGTACGTTCTGTATCAGGACAATTTCTAGATTGATGGTTCAGAATTTTCAGATATACTGATGAGAAGAGGGAAACTAAAAACCAACGAAGACAAGCTATACTTTTTTTCAAGTAAGTGAACTACACATAGTACTACAAACATGTCTTTTCTGGTATTATAATTCTACCCTTTAGAACTAATATTGCTCATCTCATTTGCTAAAATAAATGCATCAATTCTAAAGTCTATGTTTTAGAATATCTTTTAAACAAATGGTTTAAAAGATAAATGAGAGTGAGATAATTTTAGGATTAATTTGTTCTCCATGCAGCATTAAATTATTCAAGTTTCTTTCATATATTCTCCAGCCCCAAGCTTTCCATAAGTGATGGGTTGCTACATAATACCCTCCCCATCCATAGGCAGTTGAAAAGTTGCTTCAGGCATGGCTCCTAATTTCTATTAGATTATGTTTTCTTGTCCACCCACATGCCTGGCTACTGTTGGTAAGAGCAAGTCTTCATGCTTTTGTGTGTAATTTGACCTTTTTTATCCCCCTGCCAACCTTCTAAACACTGGTTTGTCTTGTTGTCACTAGGCGGAAAAAGAAAAGATTGAATGACTTTTTTTGAGGACCAACATTTATAAAAATCTTACAGAGACTTCTGTAGCTAAATTCTGTCAGAAACCAGACTTGACTTTCTTTTTAAACTGCCAGTCTACTTTATCAGTCAGAAAACTCTTAAATGCTCTGTAAAGATGCAATCTAGTGAGTGCCCGAAATGGAGACATGTGAAAATCCCTGTGTTAAAAGACTGAGCTTAATTAAAGACAGGGCAAGAACACCAGAGCTCCGACATCATGGTCTTGACTAACATCTCTGCCTTTTATTATCTATGAAGTTGGCTTGTGTTGATAATTTCCATTAAGGAGCAGTCGGCAATCCATTACATTTAATTTCATCTGCATTAAATACAACTAATTAAGTTTTTTTGTAGTCCTAAGCTTTGAGACTTTTTGTCTCTTAAGTAAGTTTATGGTAGCTTTTATCCATTTAAACTGTCCCATTAGTTAAGACTGGAAGCCATTTCTTGAGATTTGTATTTGCCAACTGGTAAATTGCTATACTTTATCATAAATAATAAGATATTTAAACTTATTTCTTCTTTCCTCTTTACAAGTCTCTGACAGTGATGTATGTGACCAGTGATATATATTAAAATAAAACAAAGCACCGACTACACAAACACCATCATCCTGTATGCAATCTTCTTTTTCTTTTAGTACTAGGGATCCAACCAGGTAGATGTCCCCCTGAGTTATGTCCTTAGTCACTTTTAATTTTTTATCTTAAGACAGGGTCTTGCTACACTTCCTAGGCTGTCCATACTGTTGTGTCAGCCTCCTAGTGTGCTGGGCTTGCAGATGTGCACTCCCAGACACAGATGACAAAAGTACCATTTTAACAAAACTACTATATACACACAAACACACACACACACTCTGGCTTCTTACAAGTTCCTAATTATATTGTTGCATTTATTTCTATCATTTTATACTTTTTCAATTGTGTAGTTGTAATTTAAGTAAAAGTCTTTATTGACTGTGTAGTTTATACATCAGCATCTACAACCACCGGACACATAACCCTTATCCTTCTCTACTTGCTTATCTAACATGAAGCACCCATGTGTGCCCTGCAGTACCTGCCAGGCCTCCAGATGATTGTGGCCCTTTACAGGTCTGTGATCAACAGAGTTAGTCCCCCTTCCCCTGCCAAGGGAAGGCTCAGTCAGCACCATCACGTGTCCTGCAGAGAGGAGCCAGCATGTCTCATGTGGCAGTGCCAGGAAAAGTTAGGTGCAAGTGAGGGCCCAGCACATCCCTGAGTGCTGTGAGATGCTCCTGGATATGGGGAAGCGAAGTCTAGACTCTGTGCTGACCACTGGCTGTGCAGGGAGGGACCGGCTCTGGACAATTCAACTGTGAGGGGGATCGGGAAGCCCATAGTTTTGCCTAGAACTGACAGGATTTTTCTGTTACTCGCAAATTGCCATGAGAAGCCTGAATGAAGAAGGAATAAACATTTATGCCATGAATATGCTAACAACTTCCTAGACAAACAGCTTCACTTATTTATTGACTATGTGGCTAAAGTCAGTTTCCTCATAAATTGAAACAGTTCAAATAGACAACCTAGAGCAAGGAGGGGACAGAGTGCTAAGCAGAGATGTTAGCCTCCCTTTGTAATTATTTTCCTGCACCAGGCGTGTGTGGTCCTGGGGTTGCACACATGGAAGACCTGCCATTTGATTTGTCACTTGCACCTCTCCCCTAGCTTTTTTTCTTTCCTTTGGTGTTCTTCATTTCAGTTTTCCACAAACTCTGTCCTTTTAAAATTTGCTTAGAAAGTTCACATAATTTGATTGGGAAAGGAGCTTAGAGTTCATGAGACATTTAATTTAGTCTCTGGATGAGCACGGTGAGAAGGAGCCACCCCAGGTCGCAGCAGCAGTCAACCTCTTGCAGCCTGTCTTGTTCACTTAGGGCCTGCGGCACTGACCTAAGTAAGGGAGATTGCGCTGCACAGAAATGAGTGGGTGCTTTTCTCCAAAACTGCCCTGAGGGACCCATCATGTTCCTACACCAGCCCTCCGCACCTGGGCTGGACTGCCACATAAACTGGGCACAGCAATTTCCAGGAAGCAAGCAGGCCTGGGAGGAAGCTGCAGGTCATTTCTCTGCCCTCTGCCCTCTGCCCTCTGCCCTTCTAGATGAATGCCAGGAAGTCCTGAATGACTTTTCCACAGGCAGGGGTTAAATAGTCATAATCATTACACGATCTCTCCTATGGTTTTGTGTTCTCTGGGAGCCAGACACTGCCTTAGGAATTTTGCTAACAGTGCTGGAGGTAGTATTTAAAAGATAAATAAAGTAACTAGAAAAGAATAGTCAAATTAAAATAAGTGTGCTTTGCCACAACAGTATTGTGTCACATATTCTTGTCTGTGACAACAAGGAAGTAATTCCTTCCTTCCTATTCTATTTTCTTTTCACTTTCTACACAGAACCTCAAATATATTAGTCCTGCTGAATAAAACCCAGTGTCCTAAGGAGATAATCAAGACCACTTTGGCCTTTAAATAATGTGCATATTTATTCAACAAACGTTAACTAAGCATCTGCGATATTCCAGGGGTTCTTCTGAAAGGCAGGAACGCAGGTGCTGAAGTATAGAAGTCCTGCCAACCCAGATATTATTCATGTAAAGAGATAGCCAAATCCTACTAATCCTAAAACGAGCAACACAGAGTGTGATGTGCTGTGACAAAGGAACAAGCAGCACCTAAAGGAGTGCTGAGCACAGCTTCAAGAGGGAAGGAAAACTTTCTAAAATAAGTATTTTTAATTTTCTGTATATTAATTTCCCTAAACATCAAAATTTGTACCATCTGTTCTCACTCTTACAAGCATATACATAGTAAGTAATTTAAGCATCCTTATGCCTCATAAAGGAAAATATGTAAGAGCTATAACTTACTTATCTGAAAATTTATATAAAGTCTCATTTCTTTTTATTTTGTCTGGCGGACCCTCAAGTTACGAGCAGTCTGACATATGAACAACTTGGGTTATGACCAGAATTTTAATTTTAGCTTCTGACCAAAGTCTTGAGTTATGATCTCAATGCTGGCCACTTGTGCTTCCAGATGGTGTCAGATACAGACTGAGTCCTTAAAGAGTTCTGGAAGGGACATTAAAACATCTTTTCCTGTCTGGGGTTCATTGAGCAATCCTGGGCCAATGCCTCTCTAAGGACACTCAGCTCTTTCTGTTATAGGAGAGAGACTCTGAAGGCTGGTGGCAGCTGAGCCTCCAACTGACCGCTTGAGTTGCAACCAGCCCTTGGGAATGAATTAAGTTCGTAAGTCAAGGGCCCACTCTATTTTCCAAACAAAGTAAACTGAGCTTTATGTACACTTATTGGGAGACTACACTCCCAAGTAATGGAATTTCTGAGTTCAAATACCTAGTGAAGATGACTGTGTCTTCTGTAATTCTTTTCTTTAAACATCAGAGAAGTTGGAAGACTTCTGATTGAAATAGAATTGTTTTGTATTTCTGTGATTCAAAAATATAGACATGAACTAGTAGCAGAAAGATTTGGCCTTTGTGATCAGTTTTGGTGAGAACAGATTAGCTTAATCCTGCAAAACATGTGGTAAACAGTAAAAATGCTATTCTAAAGGAACACAGAACTTGATGTATTTTAAGAAGCGCTAATATTCCTACACAAAGACAAGACAGCCTTGTGACTGCATTGGCGAAATGGACCCCAGATGACTTTGGCTGACCAGTCTAGGATATGGATTATCTATGAATGAGCTAGTTAACCAGTCTATGAATTAATCTACATGTTAATTCTTACCTTTGAAATTTTGCACCACTAACAGTGTTGTTAGGGAGAAATCAGCGATAGTTTTGAAATCTTGCACTGGTTACAGTGTGAATAGAGAGACCAGCCGATCGTTGGAGACAGCTGCCAAGATTCCAAGTCTAGAATCAATGCAATGGTAGCCAACTGCAGCTAATAACAGAGAAGCAGCAAAGAAAGCACACAGGGGCGTCCACCTCAGGGGCAAACCTTCTTGAACTCTACTGGAGTGAAACACTGGTCATTTCATAAGCGACATAAAAATTACAATCCCGTTAGAAGTTCAGTGCATGGTTTCTGATACCAAAAGATGTCCTGACTGAAACTATCTTAGTTAAGAAAAACTTTCTGAATGTTTCTATTAATAACATAAAAACATTTAGTGATCTGAGACATGGTTATCCAAATATTCTTCGGACCATGATTTTCACAGTACAGAGGGACAATTTTTCGACCTCATGAGATCCAGATGTGTTGTGCTCTCTGCTATAGGCACATGTTCATTATTTT